ACCCAGGCTAGTGGATTACTATAATAAACTCAATAACTTTTCCATGAATTATTTAAATAATCGTTCACGTATATAATCTATGTAGTTCAAGTATTAATGGAAGCAGTAATGCTCCTGTTCGTTGTAAGATGTCATAAACATATCTAAGATATTGCTGAGTTTCAAAGAACATTTCTGGTTATTTCAAATCTAGCGGTGATTTGAGCATCAACTACGGAACAAAGAACAACATGCAATATTCTTATCTTTGTTTTACAAGCAATTGAATTCTAGATGACATTCAGTAGTGTATGTATCGAAACGCTGTCATTAGAACTTTTGGAAAAAGATGTTCTTATCCAATAATGCTAAACAGACTTAGTAGTTGCTAACAATACCTATTTAAATCATTTGAAAGTAGATGAAGTTGGAAATAAATAAAAAACATACAAGAAGTGTCATTTCTACGGGACACAGATGAAAATCAAGATGCATCTGACAAAATCCTTAAGTACGTAGACTGAATTACTGGAACTCAAAAAAATGCATCTCCATTAAGGATAACTGTCAAGTATTGTTTACAACTGTAACTGAAATATAGAGGTCACTCAAATCACACCTTAACATACTTAAATGCCTGGTTGCAATGATAAATCCTATTGCCCTGTCAGCTTGTCAAGTCACGAAATATAAACACAGCAGAAAGACTGTCAATCAACATTTTCTTTGTCTATGTATCCTATCAAACGGAGTTGCTGTTTATAAGAGCAGTCTGAAGTCTGCAGATCGACTCATTGAGTGATTTCCGATGCGTTAAACACCGAAAAGAAACTCTTGAATATAGTGAACTGACTGTAATTGTTTCATAGATTAGCAGAACTCGGCATCGACACGTTCATGAAGTATTTTATCACAGTGATATCTTCCAGTAGATGTTAGTATTTAGCTTTTGGTAAACAGATTTCAAGAATGTTTGTTATCTCATCTTGAATTCACTTCCAAATGACTAGTATATTTCTTATTTGTTTTGAAAACTTCCGAACGAAATATACTTTAGAGCTTGTGAGAAAACTTGAAGAACTGAAGGAAAGATATGGTATGGATTTGGATATATACAATGCTTACATGGTCGAACGTATCTTTTCATATATAATACATATGTGCCAATGCTTTCAATATCGTCTTCAACATTCATCTGTTAACATTCTGATAATTTTTTCAAACTCATTAGCAATATCTAACGCTGTTGAGACACTTTTTGAGTATTTAAAATATTCAGTTCAACACGTTCCATGATACTTTCAACTCACAACACTTGGTTTAACTTCATCAGGTGATCTTTTCCAACCAAACGCTGCCTCTCTTTCATGGCTCAAAGAAGAAGTGCGTTATTACACAGGTAATAAACAATCGTGTTTGTTGTGTTCATAAACCATTACTTAAACTTTTGGATAGGGTGAAGGCGGTATCCTTCTAAGTACACTGGGAGTAAAATAATTTGCCATATTTCATATTCCGTCATTGGTTCAATTTAGTAAGGTGTGCCTTTGTTGACTTTCAGAAGAAAATAATGATCCTCTAGAAGACTGTTTAGCCGATTTCACCAGAGAAAACCCAGCTGGTGAGTGAAAGCATATATTTCGGTTTCTAATAATAGTGGTTTGTGAAACGAAAATTATAAAATTATTTCCTTTGACATGAAACATATTTATCGACATAAAGTCAGTATGTAAAACAAAAATAGGCTACAGTAGACTCATGAACATAAATCTGATACGCATATCATTTTTTATGCAGTTTCAAGTTGTGTAAAATATTGAATATACGATGTCAATTGTTGATCCAATTTTCTCTTTTGTAGAAGCCGCTAAGTTGAATAGAGAGATAACTTCGATATTTGAAGTTCATTCCATTATTCAGAAATATTGGGGTAAGATAATACTGCAGACTATATCACTGACTGGAGTTTGCAAAATGCATAGACACTTCTAAAATGAATGTTCGTGTACTCTTGAATAAAGTATTTGTGTTGAATTTCACCCGTTCATTTTCCTGTTAACATCAGTGTTTGTGTCCGTAAACTTTCAAAGAGCAAATCAAACGAGTTTATCCCAATAGGCAAACCTAACTATTCATCATCTATTTTGTAATTCCAGTAATACAAAATGCGTATGAATCAATGTTGTATAAACTCACAGTGAGTTACTTATTTGTTCAAAATGAAAATCAACATTGAAATAATACCTGTGCAAATGATAGACTGACTCTTCTTGGTGTCAGCTTACATTTTTTAATAACTCACACTCTTACTTCAGTTCTCTAAGTCAATCTATATAGATAAACGTGTGATAAAGTGACTTCAATGACGTGTGAAAAAGGAGTACGGTGTGCTCTGGGAAGAATATTCATTTGTGTGTCAAAATCAGATCGAGGTCTGAAGTCATGCACTGACCGATGTGTGGTTTTCATTCTCACTCTGTATGACCAGATGCTACAAATGTTTATTACGAAGCAAAAGGAGATGGTAGCATGTTGCGAATGCGTTTGTGATAATCGGATCAACGAATTTCTCTGTGGAAAAAGCCATACCAACTTTCTGGTTCCAGACATTGAAGAACAGTTATTTTAGATTTACAACAATCAGAACGATTAAAGTGGTGCTGCATGCTCTTTCTTTCTTTGTTCAATATGTTACCATGACATTGGTGCATTCTCGTCACAGACGTGTTGGATGAAGAGTACTTCCATTCATTGCATTTTCATTACAGCTGATAAAAGGAGACAATAATTTTACATTTCTGCAGCCATGAATTCGAAATATAACTTATGGTTTTCACTGATAAGACTTCACAGATGAGTATGCTTTGCATTAAAGCTGACATCTGTATTGATTTTTACTGCAGAATAGGCTGCTTATATATCACTATGCGTTGAAGGACATTAAGGTTATTGTGTAAGTATGTTGGGTACGACCCTAGCCAGTGTTGAGGGAATTTCCTTCCTTCAGCTGACGAGGCTTTCATCACACTTGGGCTCATGAATATTTGCTGCAGGAAGATCAGTATGACGTCCAATTATCTGAAAAAATGTTGATGATACGAACGATTTGTGTTCTTTTTCTGACATTTATTTTCTGATGAAGAACCTTCCTTGTCAAGTAGTCTGTCAATGGTTTGTCGAGATAATCAACTGACATCGGTTAGGTTGGGCATTGGTGTTCTCATAGATTTAGGTTATCTTTCGTAGTGGTGATCACATCCTTTTTCTCTCCAGCAGAAAAGAAGTAATGATTAACAGACTGGTGAAAACGGTTTACAGAGTGGTGAAGTCGTATTCCAAGAATGAATTCTCTTGGATAAATGCGTTAGACTGGACTTCAAGAATTGTGCGTCAATAAGGCAGACAAAATATATCCCCAACTAATATATTCGTTGTGCTGTTGAAAAACACTCAGATTGCTGCATAGTAGTTCGCTTGCCTCCTTACATTTGCAGATAAATAAACTTTTCATTTCTTTCCAATTTTTTAGGGAGAATATGAATATTAGTTGATATCATGAAATTCGTTCCACTAAGTAATGAAATTGTTAAATTAACAGACGATAACAAAAATGTTTAAGTTGTGTAATCTGTTTTTCTGTAAAAGTTAATAATAAAATTCTCATTTCCTTCTGAAAAGTTTATACTAACATTGACTGTGTTAGATGTTTGATGGACTTTAAACTGGGATAATCTGTCTTGTCAAGATAATAAGAAAGAGGAGAAAAAAATGTGAATGCAGTGACATTATTACATAGTCAATAGATTATTATGGTAATTCTAGCTGCATTTGCTAAGGCTACGTAAGTCTCAAGGTGGGTTAGTCAAAGTACTCAGGTATAACTAAAAAGTGAATAATGAGCTAATTACAGTTACATATTGAAAGCTCAACTAAGTTGATGCGCTAATGACCAATAATTTTGCATTGAAAGATAGTGAATCGATTCAGATAGCTTATTACTTAAGCTAGACAGTTAAACGTCGATGAGAATATATGTAGTATAATTGCCAATGTGAGAAATAAGATTGTTTCATCTTTGAATATCGGTCGAATCGAAGTGATTGAAATTTTTCTCAGGAGAAATATTTTGAAAGTCCATTCTAAACTGTGGAGTTAAGTCAAAACCAACAGGACAATGGGGATATGAGCAGACAAAATCTAGACAGAATTCTTCATGTATCATAAACATTTTTTACTTTGAGAATTTAAGTATGTTTGCATGCTAATGATCAAATTGACCATGAATGATATTGAAGTAAAGTGAAGTGTGGTTAGAATGCAATGAGGCATGAACAAGAAGTCAGCACATTTCAATAACCACTCAGATTCCGCTTATTGATACTTGTTGATTCACACTGGTTATTTTAACTAGCCGAAATGATAAGTCTTTCTCGTCATTTGGACACTTTGATCAGAAGCCGGGATATAAACTCAGATATCATATTCATGTCATTCGCTTGGTGGTGGCTACCATCGTGTTGCAGGATACAGATTTCGTCATATTTCAGATCAGTCAGCTGGATGTGCCTGGATCCCAGTAAGTGATAGTCTCCCTAAATTCCATCTCTAAAGAAAAGCAAACACTCTCAGAATAGATGAAAATATAAAAAAAGGAGGAACTAATTTGGGCAAAGCCAAAAATAAAACTAAATTAGATCGTTATTGTACTCGTCAAATATGATTCACAACAAATTTCATCCATTATAAGTCAGACACCTCTATTGACATCAGGAAGGGACTCAAAAAATGCAGCATTAAATTGTTCCACAGAACATCAAACACATTGAACATCTTCTTGGTCCTAATCATGAACAAAATTCCACTGGAGTTTGCAAACCAATTACTTCTATAAAATCAGTAACTCAGACTACAATGCATGAGTCATATTTCAAATTGAAATAAGGTGGGGAAAAATGAACACCAAATGGTTTCCATCCTTACCATAGAATGGAATAACTTTGAAAACACACCTACCCTACCTACATCTCTCTGTAAAATTAGCTCCAACGGTCTGTTGTGAAAATATCGAAATTATTCTGAAAGGTTAAAGAAATTTTAGGCAACCTTTCATATCACAATCGTTTTGCATAAATCCAGATTAAATTGTTTAAGTGAGAATCAGATCCATTACAATTGGATTGATTGGGGAAACTTATTTCAATCCTAAGTTAAGTCTTGAAAATGATCAGTGCCATGGTCTTTGCAGGTCGAAGAAACTTCAGTCATACACCTGTGTCAAGGAATTCACGTTCTATGTAGATGGTGCTGAACTTGGTTTCTGCGTTTACCGAGTGATCATAACCAATGAAATGACCTTAAACAGAGCTGTGAGGTGCACTCCTCTCTCCTATGCATAGCCAAGTTGATATATGCTCGATAACGCGTTTAGAAAACGGGAGATGAATACAGTCAGTGCACCTTACTCAAGACGAGCAGGTGAATAACAGTTAGTGAAGCACATTCGTGTCCTTACCTTCTTTTCAGTGCAAAGTCGTCTAGCACAACAAACTCTGGTTTCCAATGACAACAGGATTTCAACCATCAGCTACTCAAGTGATACGATGAGTTATGTTTTCAATTCGGTCATAATCTTCATTCACTTTTGTTTGGTCATGTTATCCGTTTCTACACTTATAAGGCGCAATCCCAAATTAATTTGCAGTTTATAGAACTGAGTATTCATACGAAAGTAGTGACGTGGTTTATAATTGAATATCAATGGTATTTCTCGAAGGGAATCTTTTTAGATCTTCTTGCTTACAAAAATGATATCGATGTAAGTCTGTTGAATAGCAACACGATTCAAAACGGATATCAGTCACCCTTCAATTCGGCTCACGATATTATGTTTTTCTTTCGGCTATGTATTCATAGCCATTGTTGATATTGGGCTATGCACATGTGTCAACAAAAATACTATGTGCCTGCTAAGTCGTTAGTGTATTTTAAACCCATCACTTCACCAGTCTCAGTTATTAGGTTGGTATTTTTAGGTGTACAGTTCCGCTCACCCACGTATGATAACATACAAACGGGTTAGACCACATCCAATCAACAGCCAAGTTGTTACACCGATGAGGCTAATCATCTCGCCTACTTGTGTGTAGATTTCAAGCTCATACTTGGTTGTATATGCATAAATGATGAATTATCTCAGCTGATTGTCTACTTGATGGATCGACTCCCTTCGTTATAATAACCTTGAAAAGTTCGCCACAGAGACACCTGCAGAGTTCTAATTGTACAGTGTTGTTTAGTAAGTGAATATGATAATTCAAGTTTTTCTGTTTAGCGGAATTAAGGTTTACATATCTAGCTGGTGAACTCAAAACAGCGAATAAGTCACTTCAGTGCCACTGTCCATATCTCAACTGAGTAAACCCGACTGTTCTCTTCAAAGTAAGCTTACACAGTTAGGTGTAAACCCTCCAGTCAGTCAGTCAGTCAGTCAGTCAATCAGTCAGTCAGTCAGTCAGTCAGTCAATCAATCAGTCAGTCAGTTAGTCAGTCTGGAAGTAAAAAGAAAGTAGCAAAGTAGTAATGGGGAACGCGTTTACTTGTAGATTTTGACGATCATTTTCAAACAAAGTAATCACTCTCATGAATAAGAACAGAATGTGTATCAGCGGAGAACCACTTCTTTTCAATGACTTCATTATATCAAGCTGTACAGTTGTATTGATAATCGGTAAGATGAAAGAAAATTACACCATAACCTTGCTCAGTCAATATGCAAAATGTAAAATTAGTGTAGGTGGTGGTATTTGTGGAAGAAGTGAAAGAAATAGAAAATGGGTCATTGAATAAGGAAACAAACTCATGAACAAGTGGTGAGATAAGAGACAAGCGCTGTCAAAGAATTGTAAAACGATGATAGTTTAACCGAAACATGCAAAATGGATGAATGAATAAGGAACGAACTGATGCTGAATAGTGAAATATAGGTCAAATACTGCCAGTGAAGTGGAAATTGGTGACAATGATGATAATAATAATAAAAGAGAAGTATAAGAGAGTGAATTGAAATGAAGTTGACAAAACAACCAAAATGAATTATCAAGGTCAAGGTGGATAAAAATGTTTCACGAAGCGTTTTTGAATGCAAAGTTTCGGCTTTTGTTCATGTATACTAATGCTACAGCTGTGCATAAGTAGTTGAGACGTGGACCTTTGGAGTAGTTCAGTTGAACTTTGTGAATTGCCTTAAGGAATGAATCTCTAGAGGCTGAATGACCTAACTCTACTAGGTATTCACATATGGATGAAGTCGTTTTCCTTCGATCACCTCTGGTAAGCCAAACCGAGTAATGTTCAGCAACAGGTTCTCGGAGGCCCCGCGTACAACTTCCGATACAGCTAGCTCCACAGGAAAATGTGAATTTTTAGATACACACATAGATGTGGACATGAGTGGTAGCCAATCCTTGACGCTTCGTCGAATCAGACGCAGGTTGGAGAAAATTAATCCTAGTCTAGCAGCATAAAAGCTAATATTCATACATTTTGACCGACGGCTTTTCAGTACCTCGGCTGTGGTATCTCCTTTGAACTCCAGATTTATGGTCAAGATTTCCTTAGGAACTGTGATAGAATGACGGGTGATTCGTCTCTTCCGATTTATTTCTATAAATCTCTTAGGATATCTGTTATTCGGTAGTGTTGTACTAAAAGTTTCGATTTCAACATCCATCGTATCTTCTGAACAGATTTTATACATTCTCTGGAACACAGAAAGCAAATGAGATTTCTTTTACAAATGAAAGGTAACCAACTATTGAAGTTAGTGAACTAGCCGGTTCAAGTTGGTTTGCAATAGACTGACCTTTGAATTAAGCCATCATCCCTTCCCTTTAACATTACGTCTAGAAAGTGGAGCGTTGAATTCAACTCTTCTTCAATGGTGAATTTAATGGACAGATGACAGTCACTGAAACGTCTTAGCAGATTATCTCGTCAAAAAGAAGAAAGGTATCGTCGATGCACCTTTTATATAAATAAAGTTCCGAGATCATCTCTTTAGGTGCTCATTTTCGAGCACTGCCATAAAGATATCAGTCAGGGCAGAGTCTAGTGGAGATCTCACTGCGACTCCGTCCGTCTGACTATAAATCATATCATTAAATCTGGACTGTACACTAAACCTACATCTTAGTATTAATTCTTTTAGCCTACCTGTAGGCAATCCAATATTAATATTATTAGAATCAATGTAATCGCATAGATAGCAAACAGTTTCAATAAGTGGAATGTTGTTGAATAAAGAATAAACATCAAGCGGTATCATACGGTTACCTGTTACGTTGAATTCTTCGATACAAAGAACAAAACCAATGTACCGTTTATATGGTCTGCTGAAGGCATATAAAGCTGGCCTTCCACTCCGTCCAGTATTGGATGTGCTTAATTCACCTTATCACTCATTGACAAAGCGGCTCGTTAAAATGCCTGAAACTATGAGATCAAATCTCTTCAAATATAGTCTTTCTGATCATAAACACGACCGTACAC